GTAACCTCCCAACAACACATATATGTTGAATTAAGTAATGAATTTGCCAAGAAAAAAGTTCACAGACTGAGCCCTCTCTTTTCTTCTTGCTGTCTGCAAGAGAAAAACTACTCGGTACTTCCCTAACATCTTTTGAGGCGAGCAAAATACTTGAACTTCTTGAGTTTTCTGAGTTTATCATTCTATTTGTCCTTCTACTGCCTTTGACTTCTCTGAGCAAAGATAATGGTAACCATACCTCCTTGATGTCTGAAAGTTATCCTGAAGATTCACTGTCTTCTAAATTTTTTTTTTTTTTTTTGAGTCGGGTTCACATTCTTTACTTGAGACTGTAGAGCAGTGGCGTGATCATGGTTCACTGCAGCCTCTAATTCCTGGACTCAGGCAATCCTCCTTCCTCAGTCTCTCAAGCAGCTGGAACTAGAGATGTGTGCCACCACACCCAGCTAATTTTTTTTTTTTTAATAGAGATGGATTTTACTATGTTGCCCAGGCTGATCTCAAACTCCTGGACTCAAGCAGTCTTCCCTCCTCAGCCTCCCAAAGTGCTGGGATTACAACCATGAGCTACCACACCCCAGCCTGTCTTCTAAATTTAAAAAAAGAAAAAAATTCTTCTCTGCCTCATCCTCTGTCCTCTGCTTCACTATTTTTTATTGTAAAAAAAATTTTCCTTGAGTTTGAAATTTGCTTAGAGACTATTTTTTTCATCCTTTCAAATTTTTTCTAGAAGAATTTAAACTTTAAAATAATAATCAAAGGAATCAGCAGACTAAGAGGGCTTGCCAGGGGCCTCTGGCCCGAAGATATAAATGTTAGCTATTGAACAGGTGACTTCTGATTTTTGTTAAAATAATTATGCTTCCCTAAGGTTAAATTCCCTGAGCTTAAGTTTTTATAAGTAAAACTGTTTCTGGCAAGTGAAGCAATGATCTTATTTTCTAATTTCTGAGGTAGTTTTTTAAATGCTGGCTCTTCTCATGACAAAGACATTTGCTTTCTATTTCTTTTGAAATTAATCTTGCTCTTAATATCTGGTTGGAAATTATATAGTCTAAAAGGATGAACTGATAAAGAAAGTAAAATAAGTAGTTTTTAAATGTACCTTGTAAGAAAACCACAACCTAGAGCAAAAATGTTTGTTTTTGCATTGTTGTCCTGAGAAGCCATCCGCATTTCTCCAGCATAACCAAGGGAATGAGTGACCAAACCAAGGATCCAGACTCTTCCAGACAGCTATTACCAAATCTGATAGGAAGCATCACAGAAATTCCCCGTGGAAAGACACCACGAGGTGATGCCCTGCTAATAATCTCGGAACTAGAGTAATAGGAAGAGAAAAGGAATCTTTCGTTTAGGAGAGCACTGAGAAAACAGTCTGTGGAGAAGTAAGATTCATGGGGAAGGCATTGGGATAAAGGGAATGTTCACAGGATGCTGCAGGTAGTGCTGCCTTGCCAGGCAAGTGGATGCTGTAGAAGGCGGAACTTTTCCTCAGTTGCATCCCCGCCCTCAACAAACACGCACCCTTAGTAGCCAGGTGCAGGTGACCTCTTGAGCGTAAGGATCAAGGTTTATCATCTAGAAAACCTCTTTCTCAATTTTTAAATTTTATGTATTTATTTATTGTTGTAGAGATGGGGGTCTTGCTGTGTGACCCAGGCTGGTCTCAAACTCCTGGGTTCAAACAGTCCTCTTGCTTCAGCCTTCCAAAGTGCTAGGACTGTAGGCATGGGCCACTGCACCGGCCCGCGATTTTTTTTTTTTTTTTAAGTAACATAATATTTTTAACAATACTGCTGACTTTGATGATAAAGATTTCTCTTAGTGAGGAATGCTACTAGAATGTACTTTTTAAAATATTACATTTAAAAATTCAGAGTTTCTTCTCAGAAGGCAGTAGGCAGTTGTAGCAAGCTTCACACTTGAGGATGTAGATTTAATGACTGAGATCAAACGTAGATTGAGTTTTGAAGTTAGCTACTGAAGATGCACTTTATTCCAGTGCCTTATTTCTCCTTTTGTAGGCAAAGGTTATGGCGATTCCCATGTACCTGGGTAGGGTCAGTCCCTCGCTTGTCTCTAGAGGCATCAGTTCCCAGCTGTTTCCCCAGTCCCTCCCTCTTCCCAACCTTGCTTGTCAGTTCTACATTATGGTGAATAGTCCATCGCCCCCTGCCCTTCTGTCACATCAACTCAGTTCCTCCCTAGCTTGCTTCTCTCCCCTCACTCTCCTGACCCTGAAACCAGTCCTGGCTCAGCCCTGAAACTCCCCCTCAAACAAGCTCCTCCTTCTGAGCTGACCCAGTTCTGATAGACTTTTTAGGAAAACCTAGAGGTCCTCCTCATGACTTTCAGCCTGGTGACAGAGCAGAATCTGACAGAGCTGAGGTGGACTCCTATGAGCTGCATGACCTTCGGCAAGCTCCTCATGCCTCAGTATTCTCTGTAAAGTAGATGTGATAATGGTACTTTTGTCACTGAGTCATCAGGAGGACTAAGAGACACTGTATAGGGTGTCTGGTTCCACAGCCTGGTGCTTAGCAAGTGCTCAGGAAAGGACTACTGACGTCTATCATTACGATTGCCCTTGAGAATCACACTATATGACTTTAAGTGTTGTTTGGGCATGGAATTCTGTTACAAGCCAAATAATAAGTCATAAAATTTTAGAGTTGAACTTCATAAGAAGAAACCAGAAACCATAGAGAAAGCTAGATTCCCATGTTAGGTCCAAAAGGTTAATTTAATAGTATAAATGAAGTAATATTCGCAAGCCAGGCAGTACCACAATACAGAAGTCATTTATGGTGACACATCAAGAGCTATCACCTAATATCAGTAAAGAGGAACATTTGGAAGAGAAACACTTGAAAACTGACAGTTTTAGCCATCAGTTTTCCCACTGACTTCTGATAAAAGGTAACCATGTTTATATATTACCAGGAGGAAACTTTTGGTTTGTGTGTTTCACTGTGACTTTCTGAGAAAGAGGAAGTTGATTGAAAAGGAATACAGGTATTCTGTACTGCCTGAGCCCTCACTGTCAGAACTCAGATATCGAACATATTTGGATGAATTTCTCCATAAATCCCTAACCATCTGAGCTCTCACTACCTGCCTTCTCAAACTTAGTAACAAGATGCATTTGGAGAAAGAAGAATCTCTCACGAACCAAACTTTCCTTCTGAGCAGTCACTAAATAGATTTAGATGCGGGGAAACTTGTAACTGATTTTCACATATGAACTTGATTTATCAAAAGAAAGTAGTTAAAATGTTTCAATGTAGTCTTTTTAAGAAGGAGATCTAGGCAATTTTAGAATGAATTCCAGGATAAAATTTACAATGGAATGTTTGCCTCAGACTGGATTCAAAGTTGCAAGCAACAGAGGCTGACTCTGTTCAAGACTCTGTGTAGGAACAGCACCACACAGGCTCAACTTCTAGGAATCTAGGAACAGATACCACACCCACAATTGGGAACTTCTAGGGGGGAAACTCCAGTGAGTACTGGCAGAGTCTTCCATTTTTCAACGGATTCTAATGGAACAGCCACTGCTTTGACCCCAGTGCCACCTTTAGTGAGAGGGCTGGAGATACACACACACACACACACACACATACACACACACACACCCAGAGATACAAACACACACACACACACACCCCCCCAGGGCTGGAGATATACACACACACACACACCCCCAGGGCTGGAGATACACACACACACACACACACCCCAGGGCTGGAGATACACACACACACACACACACACACACACACACACACCCCCAGGGCTGGAGATACACACACACACACACACACACACAGCTGGAGACACACACACACACACACACACCCAATAGTTCTGACTACTTCCTTCTACTGTCACTAGCTCCTGAGGGCAAGCCTGGCACAGGTGCAACTACAGAATGAGCCCTATCTATAAAAAAAGCTGGGAAACAAGCACTGATGTCTGTCCAGGGGATATGGGATTCATAACGTTGAAAATTCTCCAAATGTAGGAAGGCTGTTCAGATGGTATGGGCAGCCCCAAACAGGATAGAGCAGTGTTTTTCCATATTTGCAAGTTGTAACCTTTCAGTTAATGGTAAATCAATTTAGTGAATCAAGGCCCAGTTTTCTTCTCCTTTTTTAATGAAATAGAAGAGAAAGTATTGGTGTATCACTTGTAGTAAGGGTAAGTTATAAGCAGTGAAACTTTTGTTTCAGTTGTGTGGGATCTGCATCTCTGTCTGAACTGGGTTGCCATGTGAGAGCTATTTTGTCACTACAGACCACAGTTCATGATCAAAAGTCACCATACCAGAGTATTCCAGGGTTCAGAGGATTTGGTCTCTCTCACTCCCATCTCCAATTGTTTGCACAGTGTTTCTCTCTTCTTTTTCCTTTTCATTTAGTGTCTCTCTCTCTCCCATCTCCAATTGTTTGCACAGTGTTTCTCTCTTCTTTTTCCTTTTCATTTAGTGTCTCTCTCTCTCTCTCTCTCTCTCTCTCTGTCTCTCTGTCTCTGTCTCTCTGTTACACACACAGCTGAACTGTGCAGAACCTTTCTCCCTGGAGCTACTGGGAAGCTGGGACATTTCACTTGCTGGGGTACAATATGTATTACACACACTTAAAGGCTGACCTGGTGACCTACTCCCGATTACAGCATTGTTTCCAGGGAGAATTATGTTCTGACTTCTAAAGATAAAGCTTAAAAAAAATTCTATATTGTAGAGACGGTGCCTGTGATGACTGTGATGGTTGTGATTGTTGTTACAATGTGGAGAAAACATTTCAATCTAGACTTTGACTTAAAATATTTATGTAGCAAAAAAAAAAAAAAAAAACCAAAACAATAACAACAAAAATCCTAATGAGAAAAAGCTTTTGTCTTATTGTCTTGTATATGGAGATCAGCACTTGCTTCTTTAGTTTTCACTTCCTCTGTTTGAAACCAGTTCATTCTAACTTAATGTTATCTATCTGCAGGTCCATTCACTCGACCTCATCCAGCTTTATGGCGTATGGTTTTTGGTGAGTTTCCATTCATAGATGTTGTTAAGTTTAAAAAATTTCAGCAGGGCCTCTAAAATGTTAGGTCAGACCTACCAGGGGTATCTGGTGTGCAATCCAGTGTCACAAGAAAGATGCAAAGAATTGTGCAGAAGTTAAATTGCAAAATATAGTTTATTTAGAAAGTAAATTAGAAAGAGAGAGAGAGAGATTCACCAAAGGTAGGAAACAGGGCCAAAGGTAGGAAACATGGCAGCCATAGCTCAAAGAGCCACATGGACACATCAGAATTTAATAAAGCAATGGCTAGAAAGTAAATTGGAAAGAGAGAGAAAAGATTCACCTCCCCAAGGCAGGGGAGGGGGCCAAAGCTAGGAAACATGGTGGCTATAACTCAAGGAGCCATGTGACCAGACCATAGCTTAGTAAAGCTATGGCGACTACTGTTTGAAGTTGAATGCCTTCTAACCCTTCCCACTGATGGGGGCAGGTTGTTAAGGTGACTGGGTGTTCTGCTGTATGTCATGACAGAGGGCAGGTAAACACAGGTACTTACTCAGGTGATGGATGGCAGGCAAGTGGATGGGTTAACATGACTGTTGCCCTGTTGATGGGGTCTTCCATGAAGGTCATGAAGGGCTGATTAGGTTAACTTGTTTACAAAACAAGATGGGGAGGGGATTGTAAAGCAATTATCAGTAGCTACCTCTGAGAAATGGGTTCTGTCCTTAGCCAGTGGATTTGAGGGTAAATTAAAGTGAACTGCTAGAAAAACATGACAGTTCTAAGCAATGTTAAAATGACTACTCTTTGACTAGATTGACTCCATGTTATGTCCTTTCAGATATAAAATGCGTTCTCCTTTTAAGAATCTTTTTCTGTATATCATTATAGCACTTACCACTCTATAGTTAAAGTGTTAAAGCATTTTGCTTTTTGGTATTCCTAATATACATGTTTCATTAAAATTTTTTGACACAAATTAAAGTATTGGTGATGACTTAAATTCTTTAATACATGTGAACTGTTTCAATTCCACATGTCCCCTTCTTGAGCTGTTGTCTCTTGATGTACGCAAGATTGAACTTTAGCAAATTCTGAGTGTTTTCCTTTATACATCTTCATGTCACTTTTTGCTAGTGCAAGTTCAAGTGCATCCTATGAGCACATCTGTCTTGTTAGGAGGGAGTAAAAACCCAGCAATTCCATTTATTCAATGTGATGAATGGAAAAGGGAGAAGTCATCTGATAAAAGAGCCCTAATTTAAACTAAGGTTTATTATTATAATAAACCTTAGTTCAGAGTCACCTAAATGGATTTAAAATCTTCAAGCCTTCAGCTATTGGCTTCATCTTGCCAAAATAAGACATCAAATAAATTATTTTAGGTTTGGAAAACATAATTTTACATAAAAATGCCCAAAGATTCTGAAAAATACCTGTTCTGCTAACAGCTGGATATTTTTCTTTGAGCCTTCAGAGCTCATGGGTAACTCTTAATAGCTTTTAATTTATTGGTGAATGTTGGGCTTAGCAGTCTTTCACTGAGTGTGCTATGTGACAGGTGCTGCTCTGGACCCTGAGGCCACCAGGGAGAACCAGACAGACAAGAGCCTGTCCTCAGGAGCTGCCCTTCCACTCAGGGAGGGAAGATATCTAGTAAACAAACCATGACACAAATCAATAATTTAAAAATGTCAGCTGTCACTTAGTGTTAGGAAGCTTGTTAAAACCAGGAGAGGTGACAGTGACGAGTGGCTGCTTTAGCCTGAGTAGTGAGGGGAGGCCTGAGGGAGGGATGTGTAATCTGTCACTTGTATGGGAAGGGTCTAAGCCTGCAAAGATGGCAGGAGGGGTGGCAGGATCCCAGGTAAAGGGAAAAGCCTCTAAAATGACTCCACAGCAAGATAACACTTGGCTTGTTCCAGGCCAGTGTGGCCCAAGTGTAGTGGGTAGAATAGTAAGAGACAGGTCAGATAACAGCACTGACAGAATCACAGGGGGCTGTGGGCCAGAGAAGGAGCGTGGCATGAAGAGCAGGGAGAAATCACAGGAGGATTTTCCCAGGGGATTATATGTATGTTGTGAAGGTCCTGGCTGTGTCACACCTACAAGCTATGGACTTAATAGTGCTGCTTGAAGTTAAAAGTTATTTTCAACTAGTTGGGCACATCTGAGTTTTTCCTGTTTTGAACAATCTAGTATAGGTGATGCTCAGTTTTGTTGCTTACCTGAGAACTGTCTGGGAACATGGAGCCCTTTGATAATCTGATGATACCTAGAGGCCCATTCCCAATATGTACACCCACATATACTCACCATGTATAATTCTGCATATAGTATCTGGGGCTTCACAGACGTTGAAGCCCAACTGAGAACACCAGTTTAAAAATCCCTATGCCACAGTTTCTTTCTGTTGTAACATAATTTTTAAAAATGGAATTATTTCAAAAGGATCACAATTTACGAAAAAATGTGGTGCGGGGCATTTGAGGTAAAAATTTGTGAGAACAGCTTGTTTGTGAGTACAAACCAAAGGCGGTTCTCATGCCTAAAATTGTGTGTTCCCTGGGCCCTGAGATGCCTGATTGTGGCTGGCCAGGTTCCACCCAGGCCTCCTCCCTTGAGCTCCCTGAAGCCAGGAGCGGGACGCTGGTTGGAAGGCCTGGCACTGTAGCATTCACATGGATTTCATTCCAGACACGGACGTACTCTCCTCGGGAATGTCTCACTGTAGATCAGTGCTGAGCCAAGTTTAGATGAGCACTGTGATCCAAGGTCATTTGTATCACAGGGTCTAAATGTCCTTCATAAACATTTTAATTCTAAGGGAGAATTAAACATTTTAATTCAACAGAAGGAGAAATGACATGAGAAAACCCTCATTATTTGTTTTCAAATCTTTCTGAAATGTATTGCACAGGCTTTTGCCTTCTTAAAGTGTATTGTCAACATTTCTTTTTTAAGTGACTTGGGAGTGATTATTAGGATAAAAATTATGATATGATGTGACAAAATAATGCCTGCGAGGGCTAATATGGAATGTATGAGGGGGGAACTAAAAAAAAACCAGAATTTATTTATAAAAAATTGTGTGTGTTTAAACTTAAGTCATTTTGAAAGTGCGTTCCGTTTGATGCAATACACACCTATCAAGATGCTTTTTCCATTGCTCAGAACAGTTTTAGACCTTGTCTATTTTTGATGCCTTTTAGCTCTTCTGCCATTTTTTGCTTCACCTCTTTCACATCAGCAAAACGTTTCCCTTTGAGGACTTTTTTCATTCGGGGAAACAAAAGTCACTCAGGGTGAGATTTGGTGAATAGGAGGGTGGGGCATGGGGGATCATAATGATTTTGGTCAAAAACTACTGAACACTCTGCAAGGTAAGGGGCAGGTGCACTGTCATGGTAGAAGAACCAGTTACTTGTTTGCTACAACTTAGGATGTTTCTTCCACAAATTGTGATGCAGCCTTTTCAAAACTTCCAGATAAAAAACTTTGGTTGACCGTTTGATCTGGAGGAATAAATTCTGAATGTCATACAAGGAGCCTGCCCTCCCAAAGATAATTCTGGGTTTTTTGGGGTCTTGAATAAGTGGCACCAGGCCACCTCTTGAACTGTCCACACCCATCCTTGCCCACCTCAAGTCTACTTAGTTAGCTTTGCTATTAACCTAGGTCATCTTATTTCCCCCATTTAACTTAAGATCAATTCTGAGGCCAGGTGCAGTGGCTCATGCTTATAATCTGAGCACTTTGGGAGGCTGAGGCAAGAAAATTGCTTGAGCCCAGGAGTTTGAGACCAGCCTGGACAACAAGGTGAGAGCTTGTCTCTACAAAAAATTTTTTAAAAATTAGCCAAGCATGGTAGTATGCACCTGTAGTCCCAACTACTCAGGAGGCTGAGGCGAGAGGATCGTCTAAGCCCAGATGGTCAAGACTGGTGAGCCAGGCACTTAAACCTGGACAACAGAGTAAGACCCCAACTCAAAACAAAACAAAACAAAACAAAAACTCAAAAAGATTAAATATGAAATCCTGGTCATGACTTTTAAACTTTGACTGTCACTTCAGGGCTACCTGCTAGTGCTGCAGTCACATGTCAGATCCTAGAGATTGCTCTTTTCAGAGACAGGCCTGCAGGCCATTCTTTCTACCTGAAGTCAGTTACATATACTCCTCATGTCCACCTCATACACTCTTTGGCTGCCGGTTCTTCAAGTTTCAGCCTAAGCATTATTTTCTCCTGAATAATGTTACTGACCCCCTCCATCTGATTTAGGACTGTGCATCAGACTTCCTTATCAAAGAAAATACCAGATTGTAATAAGAGTCTCAACCAGCTATATTACAATATTAGAGTCTAGACTTGGCAGTAAGGCATTTGAGGCTAATGTGTGTTGTGTGTCTGACAACTGGATCTCTCCTAAACTTGAACGTGTTTTTGTTTCCCTCAGGACTCAGTGTGCTCTACTTCCTGTTCCTGGTATTCCTACTTTTCCTGAATTTCGAGCAGGTTAAATCTATAATGTATTGGCTAGATCCAAATCTTCGATATGCCACGAGGGAAGCAGATATCATGGTATGTACTTGTCAGTAGTCTCTTAAAGAAACTGGTAGACTTTTGGGTGTAGGAAGTAATAGCCTTAACATTTTAAATTGTTCCTTCTAATTTTTCCTATGTAAATATCTAAAAACCAGGTCTCTGGGCAGGTTGTTGAGTTGCATGATTTTCCACGTGTGATACAGTCCAAGAAAATGAAATGAAGCAAAGGGGCAAGCCAAGAAGAATATACATATTGTCAGACAGCCGTGGGGGTGAATTCTACCTCTGTCACTTGGTAGCAGTGGGACTTTGGGCAAAGTACTTGTTAGCCTGTTCACTTAGTTGTAAGATGAAAATAATATTCTTGTTATTACGAACTAAACAAAGTAACGTCCTTCACAGGGCCCATTTCTAGGCTTGCCTTAGTGCCCACACACGCCAGGACCCTGGGTCATAGCAGCTGCTTCTGCTTCCATTAGCATCAACGTCACTGTCAGCACCTCGACCCTCACCCTCTGGCCCTGATGCCATGATCTTTCCCAGCTGCTTGCCAGGAAGAGACTAGACATAATAATTTAGGCCTTTTTTTTCTTTTCTGAGTCGGGGTATCACTCTGTCAGTCAGACTGGAGTTCAGTGATACCATCATGGCTCACTGCAACCTCAACCTCCTGGGCTCAGACAATCCTCCTGTGTCAGCCTTCCAAGTACCTGGGACTGCAGGTACATGCCACCATGCTAGGCTAATATATATATATATATGAAAATCTTTTTTTTTTTGGTAGAGGTCAGATTTTGCTAAGTTGCGCAGGCTGGTCTCAAACCCCTCCTCAAGCAATCCTCCTTGAGGACGTGAGCCACCAGGCCTAGTCAATTTAGGTCATTGCATTTGTTATTTTTATTAAGCCATACATACACAATACTTTATTCTTGTCTTAAACTACTCCATTTTGGCTCTTACCAAAGAGACTACTTGTATGGGAAAAACCAGCTATTTTTCTCTATGCTCAATGTAAACATTTCTGTGACCAGATGTGTGGGTTTTTCCCACACCAGTGATTCCCCAACTTTCCTAACTCTTGGAGGAAGTGTCAGATCCCACAAGTAAGGGCTAAGTCCCACAACACTGCCCACATTTCAGATGCCAATTGCAGATCCAAGTTGTCACCTGTGCTTCCGGCCAGCCAGCTAAAATTGGTAGTTCCACATCACCTTCTTTGTGCTCATTCATTTGCTATGATGACTCACAGAACTCACACTTACTGGCTTACTGTAAAGGTTATGATGATACAGGTTAACAGCCAGATGAAGGGGTACATAGGGTGAGTCCAGAAGGGTACTGAGGCAGAAGCTTCTGTCCCCGTGGAATTGGAGTGCATTACCCTCCCGTCACATGAATATGTTCACCAACCTCACTGAATCCTAGAGTTCAGGGATTTTCATGGAGGCTTGATCACATAGGATGATGGATTATTAACTCAATTTCCAACCCGCTCCCCTTCCCACAGGATGTGTGGGTGGGGATATAAGTTTCAAAGCTTCTCCTCATGTCTTGGTCTTTCTGATGATCGGCTCCTAACCAGGAACTTACCAGAAGTCACCTCATTAGAACACAAGATGCTCCTGCCATCTGGGAAATTCCAAGGGATTAGGAATTCTGTGTGAGGAGCTGGGGTCAGAGAACAAATATGAGAAAAAAAGATGCATCTAGCTCCCCTATTGCTCAAGAAATTCGAAAGGCTTTAGGAAACCATTTGTATGCCTAATCCTGAATCATACCCCACACCTTTAAAATAAAATAATTTTTTTTAAAAAAAGATTTTAGGAGTTCTGTTCCAAGAACTGGAGACGAAGACCAAAATATGCATTTATTGTGACTCACAGTATCACTCACAGTATCATAGTTATTTTATGCTATCATGTTCATTTGGAACAGGTTAAAGAAAAACCTGATGATACTGAAAAAAAAGGAGAACAGGCATTTGGGCCATAGATGACTTTGCTTTGACAGATAAGGAGTAGTTAATACAAAGAGAGACTTAGTAGAAGGTCCAAGAAGTAATCATTCCACCATGGCTGACATTGCACAGACCCTTCTTGGAGTGGTGTTTCTAGATTTTCATCTTTAAATTTTTTTTAAGAGACATGCTTAAAAAAATATAAGAATGCCAGAAATCACTTATAAGTCTCAGGGAGGAAAGTCTGTTTTGAAATTTCTTATTCTAAGGGAGAGAATGGCAAAGGGTAACTTAATAGTGTATAATGATTATAATAATGAAAATGATGGTGATGGTAAGGATAATAGCAGTTATTGATCGTGGATTGTCTACTTTGCCAAGCACTGTGCTGGACACTTTATATTCTGTATAAGCCTCATGCATGCTAGGCACTCTTATCACCATCTTACAGAGTGGGAGATAGAAGCTTAGTGTCTTGTTGAAAGCACAAGCTTATAGATCTCCTTGGCTTTAAAACATGTACTTTTCTTTGGACTGTGCTTCAAGAATACAATTATAATAAGTGCTTTGATGCTCATGGGAGCCTTATGAAATAGAAATTGGGAGAAAGCTTTTCTTAAACATCTTTCTTGAGTTTTTCAGCGAAAGCGGTCACATTGCAAAGTGAACTGACTTGCAGGGGGATATAATGATGTGTTTCTGTTGATCCAGTTCTCACAGCTGGTGGGAGGAGGTTGAATTGAATAATGCTCTTGACGTCTATCATCCTTAGAAATTTGACATCACAGGGACATCCAAATGTCACAGTTGCAGCCTCAAAATAGTTGAAACTCACTTTTGGAATATAGTTTTTAAGTGTTGGCTAATTCTTTCTTGCCAAGCGAAGCAAAGCACGAGGCTGTGCTCAGCTTCTAGAGTTCTAGAACCAGAACTGCCTCATCTTCTCCATCCCTAAGTCCATCACTTTTTACTTCCTTAAGGTAGTCTTTCACAATTCTAAGGACCTGCATTGGAGCCTCCCTTATGCAAAACAGTAGGTCTGTAATTCCCTAGTTCCCGGGGTCCATATTCTTCTAATTCTTCCACACCCCATTCCTAATCTTGATGAATTGTGGTCCATGCCTCGTATCGTACACTGAAACTCAGACTCCATTTGCCCTTAAAGTTAATATTACAAATTGTAAAGGCTGCTTTCTAATGAAATCCCATTAGAAGTAGCTTTTTGTGTAATTGTCTGAAAAATTTGCAACTTTTAAAAAATATTGGTTCTAAGTCGGGCTTGGTGGCTCAGACTATAATCCCGCGCTTTGGGAGGTTGAGGTGAGTGGATTGCCTGAGCCCGCGGGTTCGAGACCCGCCTGGGCAACTTGGCGAGAACTCATCTCTACAATAAAAATCAAAAAATTAGCTGGGCTTGGTAGCACGTGCCTGTAGTTCCCGCTACTTGGAAGGCTGAGGTGGAAGGATCGCTGGAGCCCAGCAGGTCAAGGCTGCGGTGGCCAGGAGCATGCCACTGCACTCCAGTCTCGGTGACAGAGTGAAACTCCAACTCAAAAAGAAAATATTGGTTCTATTTGAAAATGTGTTCTAAGCTTCACACAGCTTTAATAGCACAGCTCATATGGTTATGCACAACAGGTTTTCTGATCTCATCTATTTCTGCCCACCATTTAAAACACTTCTGTACCCCCTCAAATTAAAAGTCAATCATCAGCAAAATCTTCTGTACCCTCAGCCTAACTTGTGAATATTCACTTTATCTTGCTCTAACAAAAATCTGTATTTCCCTAAAGGACACTCCTTCCCTGTAGTCCTCTAGAATGGTGGCTACTTTCTCTTCTACAAGTCTCCTATTGGATATGAAAGTAGGATAATGTTCTTGTCACTTCCAGATGATCCTCTTTCCCTCCTCAAAAAGAAAAAAAAAAACAACACTGGCATTGAATGTCATGCCATAATTTTCTTCCCATTTTTATATTTGCAGTTATCTATTTATCCCAAGTCAGTCCCCTCATTCCTTAAAAATATTAGCTTCTGGATCACTGTCCCTCTACAATGTCAACCCTGAAACAGTTGTGGATTTAAATATCTTCTTATAGTGTGAGTTCTTAAACTTTGTTTATGTGCACATTCTCTGAATCCCTTTGGAAGTCTAGGGGTAAAAACCAAGGACCACTTCTTAAAATATCTTAAATGCAAAAAAAAAAAAAAGAAGATTACAAATTAAACCAATTATAGTGAGAAGAAAAAAAAAAGTGGAGCTCATCTGTGAATTGGGTTGTCTCCAGCAGCAGTTTTTTATTTAGTAAATGCCGACTGCACTTTTCCTGTGTGCTAGACACCAAGCTGGTGGGAGGGTAGGCACACTCCCTTGTCCTCTTGGAGCTTAGAGTCTACAAGAAGGCAAGTTAAACAAATGATTGCTGGCTATTGAGCCCTAGGACAACTGCAACAGTTTTTAAAAATTGTATTACAAAAAGTTTTAAACATATGTAAGAATAGAGAAAATGCGTAACCTCATGTACTTCACCCAGGCTTCAGCATTATCAACACATGCCCAGTCTTGTTTCACTTTTCACCCCACATCCAGGATTAGTTTGAAATCGTTTTCAGGCATTAAATGTAAAATATATGGACTTTTTTTAACATAACCATTTAATAGTGAACAGTATGCAGTGAGCATACACATTTCTGCAGTTGCCTCATAAATGTTTTGTACAGTTGATTTGTTCAAAGTAAGATCCATCCCAGCTCTTTGGGAGGCCAAGGTTGAAGGACTGCTTGAGCCCAGGAGATCAAGGCTACAGTGAGCTGGGATTGCGCCACTGCACTCCAACCTGGGCGACAGAGTGAGACCCCGTCTCAAAAAAAAAAAGGTGGGGATCCAGACAAGGTTCACACATTGCATTCAACACATCTCTTAAATCTCTTTTGACCTGTAGTTTCCCTACCCTTTCCTGAAAGTTTATTTGTCATAGAAACTGATTGCTCTTTCTGTAGGGTTTTTCACATCTGGATTTTGTAGCTTGCACTTGTAGAGTGTCATTTATTTAATGTGTCTCTTTGCTCCCCTATATTTCCTATAAACTGGAACTTAGATATAGAGACTGGATGGGATTCTAGATTCCAGATCAGTTTTTTATAGTGAGACTACTTCACAGGTGGTGCTGTGTATCACATGAGGAGGCATGTGATGTCGTGAACTCTCTTTTTATGACATTAAGATTTATCATGAGTTCAGGAAGTCAGCATCAATTTCTAAGATGCACCATCAATTACAGGTATAACTTTTGGAAGGAAAAAAAGAAACCTTATATTTAAAGTATATTATACTGTAATATATTGAAATATTCACCCTAATTTTCAAAGTAAATTGGCATGGAAAAGACATGTCATAGATTCAAGAAAGCACAATCAGTACAGAGAGGACAGCTGATGGGGAGGCCCTGATCTGGGTGTGGAGAACTGGGGCTAGTTGGAGCTAAAAGAATGTAGAGACTGTGAGGCTGCCAGGGTGGAGCCAACAGGGATGAGAAACTTGGATGTTATTTTAATAAGAGGCCATGGAAGGCTTAAAAGCCAAGGAGCTACGTGACCTGTGTTGATGTTTTAAAAGGTCAATCAATTATACCCGATCTTTGAGTTTGAAAAACAAAAAGGAAAAAAAAACAGAGTCCAAAATCTCAGCTGATTTCTTCCTGTAAAAGCTTAGTGGAGCAGATGACTTTAGACCTGGACTGAATTAGACAGACCTGTCCTCCCCTGGCCCACTGGACAACCACAGGTTTCTTTCACAAGGCGGGTTCTGAGCTGCAAAAATCTCTGCATGGTTAAGGGAGCAGACAAGAACGTCTCCTTATCTGTTGGCAAATAATTTCCAAAGAGGGCCCAAAAGAGGCTGGAGCTCTTTTTCCAAAGTCAGTAACTCCCCCAGAGAGGAGTGAGCGAGTGAGTTGGGCTGGAGGCCTGGCACATGGAGTAGTAGTGATCCTCCTACATTGGGAAAGGCACTATTACCCAACCGCTCCCTCCTCCTGCACCCTCCTCAGCACAGACACACACACACACACACACACACACACACACACACACACACACACACACACACCGCTCCCTCCTCCTGCACCCTCCTCAGTACAGACACACACACACACACACACACACACACACACACACACACACACACACACACACACACAGAGTCTGATTGTAGGATTTCCAAGATCTCTTCGTAGTCTTAAGCTGGATGTGAGTACTCAGGTGCTTATTATAGCGTCATCTATGGTTTTTTGTATGCCTGACACATTCTACAATTTTAAAAAGCTATTATTATAGAAGCCTGAGTAAGAAATAACAGTGACAGTGAAATGGATAAAAGAGCAACTTGGGGAAGTCAAATGAATAGGACTTGATACTTGCTTAGGTCCTGAGCAAGCCAGGGAGAGGGTAGGGTTACCGAGATCAACCTAGGTCCAACTGGGAGGTAGGAGAGGTGTTTTTTTGTTGTTTGAGTTGGGGTATCTGTCACACGGTGCAGAATCATGAAGACCACAGCTCATGGCAGCCTTGGAAGTAAGAGTTTATCTTTACTTATCGTTCACTCATGGGTACACCTGCCCACTCAGCTCTCTTTTAGCCCTGGACTGTCCTTAGTTGAAGCCTGTTCTTCCTGGTTCCTGGGTAATTCCTGCCTGCATGCCAGGATGAGAACCAGGGTCTTCCATGGTGATAACTGGTAAATCTGTTCATGGATAACTATCCTAATAGATGCATTTGACTCTTGGTGATTTCTAAAGCGCCTTCTCATATATCGAAGCATAGAAATACTCTAATTGAGTATAAAGGCCTCCAAAGTTGTCTTCATGCGCTGATTACTTTGAGTAGTCTTTTGGAAGCAGACCTCGCCCTTTCTTATCTAACCCTACACAATTGTTCAGGAGTAAAGAAGAGCATGAGTGGTGGAGGAATCCCAGGCTAATGGGACCCTGTTGCTCCCCCTAACCTAATATAACCTGCTCCAGCCCAAGTTTCTACTTGTTAGTCTGCAGTTCCCTGTGACAAGAACATACTGACACTGGAAAGAGTCTGGGAAGAGAATGTTCATCTTATTCCAGGGCAGCTTTTTGTTGGTTTTACACCTTATCTTGACTTATCCCTGTTTAATTGTATCCTCCTTTTTCCAGATTTCCCATTCTTCTTTATAGACAGCATAGTATCATATCACACTCCTTCTTGAAAAATTGAATTTTAAAATTTATTCATTTACACAACCACTCATTGGGTACCCTGTCCACTACCGGGGGGAAAGAGGGCTTGATAGAAGCCCAAAACTCACCTGCACACAATTTACTTAGATAGCAAATCCTCACATGTACCTCACGACTCTAAGATAAAAATAAATAAAAAGAATAAAATAATAAGCCAGGCACGATGGCTCACACCTGTAATCCCAGCACCTAGGGAGGCAGAGGCAAGAGGATTGTCTGAATCCAGGAGTTCAAGCCAACCTGGGCAACTTGGTGAGACTTTGTCTCTACAATAAATAAATTTTTAAAAATTAGGCTGGGCTTGGTGACTCAGCCTGTAATCCCAGCACTTTGGGAGGCCGAGTTGAGTGGATTGTCTGAGCCCACGGGTTTGAGATCAGTCTGGGCAGCTTAGCAAGACCTCGTCTTTACAATAAATCAAAAATTAGCCAGACATGGTAGCGCATGCCTGTAGTTCTGGCTACTTGGAAGGCTGAGGCAGAAGGATCACTTGAGCCTGCAGGTCAATGCTGGGGTGACCATGAGCGTGCCACTGCACTCCAGCCTGGGTGACAGAGTAAGACTCTGACTCAAATAAAGTAAAATAAGATAAAATATACTAAATACTTTGTTTAGCTTTGCATATTGAAGTGCATTTTGTACAAGAACGAAATTGATGTGGTAGTTTTCAGAAGAGAGGGAAGCTCTTTTGCTCTTTCAGAAAGTATCATTTCTAGAATTTAACTAAAATGTTATAGTTTATAGGAGTTCTTCCAGCTGGCTGATAATGGGTGAATATTTTCCAACTTTTGCTGTATTTCCTGTCTGGTTAATTTTGGACTATTGTATTGTCATATAGTCATATTATTTTTATTATAAATAATATGAAATACAAGATTTAAAATTACTTAGAAATATATATAATCAAAAACAGAAATGGAACCAAAATTCTTAACAGTTTTTTTTAGTGTTTAAATCATGTTGTATCTGATATATTTTTGGATGAGGGGTACTGCTATTTTCTTCTCATTTCTGAAGTAGGGCATTTCAGTTTTTCTTCTTTTTTTAGTTTAAGTATTTAAGGCTTTACATTTTCTTCTAAGTTCTGCTTAACCAAGTCTCATCATCTGATATAGAGTATTTTTATTGTCATTAGTATGGGATGTTTTTAAAACTTTTATTATGATTTCCTCTTTAATCCATGATATTTAGAAATGTGTTTTTACATTTCCAAATCTATTGGGATTCTTTTACTTATGTTTTTGTTACTGGCTTTAACTCTGCTGCTTTGTGGTCATATGATGTGGTCTATATGATACCATGTCTTTAAGATATATAGAGCCGAGCCGGGCTCGGTGGCTCAGCCTGTAATTCCGCGCCTTTGGGTAGCTGAGGTGAGTGAATTGCCTGAGCCCGCGGGTTCAAGACCCGCCTGGGCAGCGAGACCTCATCTCTACAATAAATCAAAAAATCAGCTGGGCATGGTAGTGCATGCCTATAATTCTGGCTACTCGGAAGGCTGAGGTGGAAGGATCGCCGGAGCCCAGCAGGTCGAGGCTGCGGTGGCCGGGAGCGGCCACTGCACTCCAGTATGGGCGACAGAGTGAGACTCCAACTCAAAAAAAAAAGAAGATAAAAAATCAAGTGATCTTCCCACCTCAGCCTCCCAGAGTGCTGGGTTGACAGGCATGAACTACCATGCCTGACTGTGGACTTACTTTTTAATATGCAGATAATTTAGGAACAAGTTTCTATTGTGTTTTTAAATATTCTTTCTCAATTTCTTCTTAATTACAGAGCAAAGAGATTGCATTCCAACTTCACGAGGACTTAATGAAGGTTCTTAATGAGCTTTATACGGTAAGCACATCATCTTTCTTCTTTTGCAAGAATTCTTGGTTTAGAATTCTGGTTTGTCAAAATACTGCTCATTTTGTAACTCATTCCAAACCAGAGTGTCAATAAACACCTCCCTGGCTGAAACGTGGGACCAGGAAGATGGATGCTAACTCCTATGTTTCTTTACCACTCCCTCCCAACTTGGAGAAACTGAATTCCAGTGTACACGCACACACACACACACACACACACACACACACACACACACACACACACACACACACACATAGAT